GAGGGGGGGGGGGGGGCGGTCCCGTGCAGCGCACACTCGGAGCACCGCGTGCGTCCTCGAGTGCTACAGTCGGGGCACGGCTCTGCCCTCCGCGTCTGTGTCCGTCGGCTGTGTGTCTGTCGGCTGTGTCTGTCGGCTGTGTCTGTCGGCTGCATCTGGACTGCATCTGGGTAGCGCCAACCTCCTTCACCTCGGGCTTGGCAATCACACCCTTGCCGCCGACGAGGTGGTCCCCGATGGAGCGCGCCTACCAGCAGCGGGTGCCCCGTTTCACGCAGGGGCGGTGGGACGGTGGGGTCCCCCGCCTGGTGAGCGCGAGCCATGGCGAGGCCGGGTAGCGTCATGTTCGCGTCCAGCCACACCCGCGCTGGCCCTCCCCACTCCTACAGAAGCCCGACACGCGGCTCCTCGCGCGAGCCCGGGCACGCGCTCTCGCCGCGGCCTCCGCTGTGTCCGCTCCTCCTCTGGCGGCGAGACGAAGCCGCCCGCCTTTTCGATCCGCTTCTGCTCGGCGGGCGTGTCCGGCTTCTGGTCTTCGGACAGCGCGACCGCCTTCAGCTTGCCGCCCTTTTGGACGGCCATCACCTATTCACAGCGAGAGGTGTGAAGAGACGCTGTTCACAGCTTGCCGTCCTTTTGGACGCCCATCGCCTGCTCACACTCGAGGCGCCGTGTAGAGACGCCGTCCTCGGCGACGCGCCGCCCGAAGGGGGAACAGCTGCTGCCGCGCGAGAGTCGCCAACGTTCGCGACCCAGACCTGCGGAGACGGAGACGGAGAGAGGGGAGGCGCGTGAGGGTGAGAGCACTGCGCGCGGACATCGCATTGTGCCGTACTCGCGTGGGGCGCGCAAGGCGAGGTGCGCCGCTGTTCGCCGCCCGCATCTAGCTCTCCGGCGCCTTCCCCCGCCCGCCCTGCGTCCAGCGCGCGAGCGCGACCACCGCAGTCGTGCCCGACAGCTCCGCGTCGATGGAGGAGTCCTGTTCAGAGCCGCGCGCGTGTGGAGCGACGCGGCGGAGACGCGGCGGCGCGCGCGGTCCGCGGAGGGGGAGGTGTCGGCGGCGGAAGCAGGCGATGTCTGAAGCTCGTGGGTGTGTGGGGTGCGTGTGGAGTGCGTGTGGAGTGCGTGTGGAGTGCGTGTGGAGTGCGTGTGGAGTGCGTGTGTGTGTGAGTGTGTGTGTGAGTGTGTGTGAGTGTGGAGGGCGGGGCGGGGAAGGGGAGGGGGGAGAGGCGCCGTCTGCAGCTCGGTGTCGATGGCGATAAAGACTTGCTCGAGGGCGGTCTTTGGGTCGGAAGCGAGGAGGGGGTGCTGCTCGAGCTTGGCCTGCCCGTTGTGGGGGAGGGGGGGGGCGAGGGGGCGAGGGGTTGAGAAAGAAAGGGGGGGGAGGGGTTGAGAAGAGGGGGGGGGGGGGGGGTGAAAAAGGGGACGGTGCTGCAGCTGCTGCGGCGCCTGCATGCCGTGCATCGCGTAGTGGGACACCTTGTCGCCGCACACGCCGTGCCCGTCAAACACACAGAAGAGTGCCGACGTCTTCTCCCCTTCGACACCGAATGGGTAGCAGACGCAGCCGCGGTCCTGGTTGATCTTTGCCATCATCTCGCCGGCGGAGCGGCCGGGCTCGACGCCGTGGCAAGAGTAGGTGCCAACCACCTCGGGCGGAAAGGGGGCCGCCACCGCCTTTGCGCCCATCTCGGGACTGCGGTGGGGTGGGGTGGGGGGGTGGGGGGGGAGGTGCTGCCGCGTCGCTGGGCGGCGCAGAGGGTTGTGCATGTGCGCGCAGACAGGAGTGGTCAGCGTTCGGTCACTCGGTGCGGCGCGCGGATTGCGGTGGGGAGAGGCGGCGCGGAGAGGCGAGGGCGGGGGAGTCGATGTCGCCTCATCGAGAGGCGCCGCTGCCGCCGCGCCGCAGGGTTCGCGGGGCTGCTGATTGAGTCGGACGACGACCCGCCCGGCACATTCCCCTTTGCGAGGGAGAGGCGGCGCGCGCGAAAGTTGTCTGCGCCCTCGCCGGCCTGCTGCTCCTGCTCCCTCGAGCTCCCGGGTTCCCTGGCGGAACATGGCGGTGGAGGCGAACAGTGATAGCTGCGGGTCTGGGGCGATCGGGCGCAGCTCCGTGCAGCTTGGGCGACGAGGGAACTGGGCGCGGACGCAGCTGGGCGGCAGAGCGTACTGGAACTGTAGGTCCATTTGGCAGTTGGGAAAAACAGCGCGAAAGTCGCCGCTGCACAGCCGATGTCGTTGAGCAGCCGCACTTCCTCACCGGCGCCAGCCGATGTGAGGGCTGTGAAGAGGCGTTTTTCTTTCACAAAATCAGAAGAAAGAAACGAGAAGAGAGGCACAAGAGAGGTAGGGAAAGAAATGAGAACCGGGAGATGGCGAGACGTAACATCGACAACTGAAAGAAACGAGCGAGACCTGAGATGGCAAGATTGAAAACGGGAATGTATCTCAACACGAAAAAAAGTGTCACCATATCCATCCCGCGTTGCAAAACGAATCGGCGCGAAGTCGCATGATGATCCTCGCCTCGGCCTCCTCGGCCTCCGTGCAGGTCTCGTGGACACAAACCGCTCGCCTAGGCGAAAAGGTCACCCTGCTCGAGGACCAGACCCCCTTCGTGCTCAGCAGTGGCGTGTGTGACGGCTGCCCGGACCGGGCGATCTCCGTCGACAGCAAGCAGACGTTCCAGACGTTCGAGGGGTTTGGCGGCGCCTTCACGCAGGCGTCGGCGGTCAACTGGCGCAAGCTCAATGCGACCGGCCAGGCGGAGCTCATCCGAGCCTACTTCGCCGACCCTGCCGACGGCGGGCTCGGCTACACGCTCTGCCGCGTGCCGATCAACTCTTGCGACTTCTCTCCCGAGTCGTACACGTTCGACGACGTGGAGGGGGACGTGGCGCTGGAGCACTTCGACAGCACCGTGCAGAAGGACGTCGACCTCGGCATGATCGACATGATCCTCGCCGCGGAGGCCGCCGTCGAGGCGCGCGGCGAATCGCACGGCGTCCGAGGCCTCAAGCTCAAGCTGCTGGCTTCGCCGTGGTCGCCCCCGGCGTGGATGAAGCTGCCGATGAAGGGCGTGTACGGCGACCCCGGCGAGGGCATCCGCACGATGACGGGCTCCGCCAAGCCCTTCGGCCTCGACCCAGACTACCAGGCGTCGTGGGCAAACTACTTTGGAAAGTGGCTGGCCGCGTACAAGGCTGCGAGGCAGCGAGGCGTCGCGCGGGGGGTGGAGGTGCCAGCGGAGCGGTGCACGCGCCGTCCCGTAGGCGCGAGGCGTCGACTCGCTCTGGGCGGTGACGGTGCAAAACGAGCCCGAGGCCTCGCCCGGCTGGGAGAGCTGCCTTTGGACGCCAGAGTAGAGCGCCGCGCTGGAGGCGGGGCAGCGCTGAAAGCGAGGGAGGGACGCATGGAGGCTGGTGGTCGTAGGTACATGGCTAAGTTTGTGGCGGAGCACCTCGGCCCCACTCTCAAGGCGACGCACCCCGAGATCAAGATCTTCGGCTTCGACCACAACAAGGCCCGCGCCGCCGCCGAGGGGGGGCGGCGCCGGGAGAAGAGAGGAGGCGGCCGCATCCACCCGAGGGCTGTGATCAGGACCACGTCGCCGAGTGGGCGGACGGGCTGTACAAGAACAAGACCGCGGCGGACTACTTCACCGGCGTGGCCACTGCGCTGGTACGGCGCCCCAGTGACTGGGGACTGAGGACCCCCCCCGCTGGTTGAGTGTGTTAGGCGTGGCGGTGCACTGGTACGGGGGGCTCAACACGGAGAACCTGCAAAAGGCGCCGCGAGGCTGGCGCCGACGAAGCCGACCCTCGACCAGATCTCGGCCACATCTCGGCGGTGTCGCCGAGCAGGCGCACGAGGTGGACCCGACTAAGTCGATCCTCGGCTCGGAGGCGCGAGGAGTCATTCCTGGCTCTCACTTCCTCACTTACTCACTGAATTAAGCTTGATCCTCGGCTCGGAGGCGCGAGGCCAGAGCTCATTCCTTGCGGATCCTTCCGACCAGCACTTCAGCCCACACGCCCGCGGGTTGCACCTCGCTGTGTTGCGGCCGTACTCAGCCCTCCGCCCGCTGCACTCTTAGGCGTGCAACTGCGTCGGCCACGTCGTGCTGCAGCAGGACGGAGTTTCGTCATGGTGGACTCGCGCGGCGCCTCTCCCTCGACCGTCCCGCGAGGCCGTCCGCCGACGGCTCCTGACTGGTGGCCGCTCCTCCTCAAACAGGAGCGCCTCTCGCTCGACATCCTTGAGGACCTCAAGTGGTGGGCCGTCGGCTGGATCGACTGGCGAGATCTAGCCGAGATCTGGGGAGAGCTGGGGAGAGATGGGCCGTCGGCTGGATCGACTGGCAACTCGCCTCGAGATGCGGAACACAGATCCCCGTCTCCACTCCACCCCCCTTCTCCTCTCGAGCACACAGGCCCCCCGGACATATACACAAATATATCGCAGTCGGCCGCACTCCGCTGCCTCCAGCGACGTGCTCGGCTCACTGCGCGGCGCCGCATCCACGCCCCGACGCTGGAGTGCCCACGACGCAGGAACTTGCTCGTGGACGTGAACGGCGGACCGAACCACCTCAAGAACCTCTGCGACGCAAACATGATCCAGGACGCCGCCGGAGACAAGGGCGGCCAGCCGCTGATCAAGCAGGCCTCCCGCTCCCTACGGGCAGGCGTCATCGATGAGTCCAGGAATCACTGCGCCGCGGGTCGAGCAGGCGTCCTACTACTACATGGGCCACTTCTCGCGCTACCTCGTCCCGGGCGCCAAGCGGGTTCAGGTCTCAAACACAGTCGAGGTCGAGATCCCGCAGGTGGCCGCCGGTTTGGAATTGGTTGCCTACGACTAGGTCTCAAACACAGTCGAGGTCGAGATCCCGCAGGTGGCCGCCGGCGACATCAAAAACGGCGCGTCGCGCCCCCTGCCTGCTCTCTCCCCCGCTCCAGTTTCAAGACTCGAGAGAAGAGCCTCCACCCCCCCACCCCCCCCACGGCCTGGGGCCTGGGGCTCGGCGTGTCACGGTGCGGAGTGGCGGACGAGCTCGTCTCGGGCAATCATGGGCCGTCTCGGGCAATCTGGGGCCGTCTCGGGCAATCTGGGGCCATCTCGGCCCATCTCGAGCGAGAGGCGAGCGTGACAAGGGTTCCGCGGCGCAGGAGCGGCGCTGCTCTTCGAGCCGTGCGACGCGGACAGCGCGGTGCAGCAGTTCCGCTTCACCGCTGCCTCCGAGCCCGGCGACAAGATTGCGGCCTCGCTGATTGCGGCGGGGACCGACGATGCACCAGCTTCGGACGGGTCCCGCCGGCCACCGGTTTCCTGTGTCTTTGATGGCATCAGTTCGGGCGTAGGCGCCCGGCTCGGACGGGTACCAGCGCGGCGGCGAGTGCGTCGAGCTCTGCATCATGCCGGGATGCTGGTTCCCGAAGGTGCAGCTGTGGGCGTGCGGCGACGGCGGCGAGGCGGGCCACGGGGCGGGGCAGACAGGAGGGCGCGTGCGTCGCGTCTCTTCACGCGTGCAGCTGTGAAAACAGGCGGACCACGGCGGGCGCGGGAACCAGAAGTGGGACGTGCAGTCGGTGCGGCTGCGTGACGTCGTGCGCGCGTCCGAGACTCGTCCACGACACGTCGCGTCGACACGTCCGCAGGTGAAGGGCGGGTACAAGCTCTTCTATTCACAGCTCTTCTATTCACAGCTCTTCTACTGCAGGTGAAGGGCGGGTACAAGCTCGAGGTGCGCGGGTCGCCCGAAGGGGCCGGCGGAGGAGAGGTGAAGGGCTGCCTCACCGCCGTCAAAGCGGAGGGGTGCGCGGCGCTCCTCGCCCACCGGCTGTGAGCGTGAGCGGCGACTCTTCACGCCGTCCGCCGTGATACAGGTGGGCGGTCGACCTCGACGCCGGCCTCGAGGTGATCGCCGCGCAGCTGGCGCCTTGCCTCAGTGACGGCACTAGCAACCAGACCTTCCTGCTCGGCGGCGACGGAGAGGGCGGGTGCTGCACGTTCGAACGCTGCGAGGAGGCGCCATTAACGCGTCTAGCTGTGCGCAGGGGAGGGCGAGTCGCTGCTGGAGAGTTCCTTCACGGTTGGGACGGCCGACGCGAAGCTCTGCCTCGCGCCTCAGGAGCCTCGTTAGTCGCTGCTAGTGATCCACTCTTTCCCTCATGATGACGCTCCGCTTCGTTGATCGCTTCTGTGAAGTTTCCCCTCGTGACGACGCCCCGCCCCGCGCCTCAGATCCCAAAGCTGCCGCACTTCGACGCCGTCGGCTTCCACAACCCAGACGGGACGGTTGCCGTCGTGGCGATGAACACAAACGACGACCCTGTGGAGTTCACGCTCAAGGATGAGGCGCGCGCCGCCTCTCGCGCCAAGCGCACTCCTCTCCTCTCCCGACCCCTTCCCGCAGCCTCCTCGGAACCCTCTCGGAACCTTCTCGGAACCTTCCTGCAGGCGCTCGGCCTCGCGGCCAAGCACTCGCTGCCGGCCCACGCGATTCACACCTACCGCTGGCAGTCGGGTCCGCCTGCCGACGCCATCTTCGCCCAGAACGGTGACACGCTCCTGCAGGCCGCTCCAGGGCATGCGCCAGTCGAGAAGGCCGCAATGGGCCCCGCCGTCGCCGCCGCCGCCGGCCGCCTCACCCCTGCTATGGCGGCGGCTCGCTCTGTGGGCGTCGCGGCCGCCGCCGCCCCCGTTGCCACCAGCGGCGCGGCCATGACGCCGCCCGAGCTCCTCGTGGAGACGGTGGCGGGCGACAAGCCGGGCGAGGGGCCGACTCTCGAGGCGCCGCCGCCCGCGCGCGCCTCGTGGATCGCAGTCTGTGCCGGGGGCGCCGTGGCGCTTGCCGTGGCGCTGCGGCGCCGCTCTTTCGGGGCCGTCAACAACGGTCGCACCTCGCGGCAGTACATCGCCCTCTGAGGTTCATCATGCGCCCGATGCTAACGTTGCTGCCTCGGCTGCGCGCGCGTACATGTTGCGTCAGGCTGTTAGAGGATTCTACAACACTGTTCTCAACACAACACGCACCCTCTGGCCGCGTCTGCCGCTCTGCCCGTGTGCCCCGCAGTCTCTCTGCCAGACTGTGTCTCGGCGCACTCATGAAGTGTTTCCATCGTCTGCATCACAATTTCTCCCTCTGTTTTTGTGGTTGCTCTAGCGGCAACTGGCGCAATATCCTCCACCCAACTCTTCCCCGGCCGGACAAAGCAAGCTGCAGCCTCCCCCTGAGCTGCAGCCCTGCACATTTTATATGCTAGCTTCCGGACACTACATCGCCGAACGCCGCATTGCGAGGTAGCCGACCAATAACGTGCGTGGGCCAGCCGCACGCGGGGCCAATAGAGCGTCCACTCACAGGCAGGGAAGGCACGGGCAGCAGCTGTTCCCCGTGCAGATCTCGTACGGCAGCAGCGCGACCGTGCAGCATGCGGTGAAGGCACAGGTAAAGCAAAACATGAGGAAGCAGCCCAGCGAGCCGACAAGGGCATAGGTGGCAAAGATGGCGGGCGAGACGGTTGCGATGTACCCAGCGAAGCGCTCCACCTCAGGGTCCATCTCTTGCAGCTTGCGCAGCACGTCTGGCGAGTTGTAGCCTGTGTCCGAGCGCACGGTCAGGACCTGCTCAGGCTCGTCGAGCAGCTCCGCCCTGGGCTGTGCCTGGGCAGCCGACAGGGCAGCGCAGCCGACCGCCAGCAGTCCCGCGAGCAGGATGATCGAACGCGCCATAAACAATCGTCCCTAGAGGGGTGTGGACTCTGGCTGGCCTTTTCGGCGCCGGAACGCTGCTATTTGGCTGGACTTCAAGCAAACGTAATATCTTGCTCCGACGGCGGATTCAAAAATGTCAAAATTCGCGTGAGGACGGGGCGAAAGGTGAAATGTCACCCTCACGACCATTAAGGTCTGCGTTATTGCTTCAGCTGCGCGACTTTGGCGTGGCCAAGCAAGGGGCTGCTCGGCGACGCGCTCAGGTGTATAGGTCCTAGTATAGGTCGCCCTAGCTTCCCCTTGTCGGCGAACCGTGCTCTCCTCCGCTGGCAATCACCTCGACTCCGCCATCCACCGCCCAGCCGGCCTCAGCCGGTGAGTGCACGCACCACGTGCTCGACGTTGAGGTTGCGGATGTCCTCGTACGTCTGCCCGACGCCGACGAAAACGACGGGCTTGCCCGTCGTGTAGACGAGGTTGAGGGCGGCGCCCACCTTGTCGTTGATCGTGTCAAACTTGGTGAGGATGACACCGTCGATCAGCCGCGGCGCCTTGCCGCCCGCGTACTGGGCGAGCGACGCGTTGAAGCCGGTCACCTGGCCGACGAAAACAGACAAGCGTCCACGGCGGGTGCGCCAAAAGGACGCGTGGGGCCGAGGTTCACGCGATCGCGTGTTTGCATCCGGCCGCCTGGTCGACGGCGTCGTTGCCGGCCAGCGCCTCGCCGACGAAGAGGACGAGGTCGGGCGAGTTGACATGCACCTGCTCATGCGCCACTCACTGAGGAAGGGGTGCCCCGCCGACGAGGGCGGCGAGGGCGAGTCGCTGGCGGCCACCAGCTTGGCGAGCGCGCGCATGAGCGGCTCGTTGTCCTGCATCCGGCCGGCCGTGTCGACGAGCACCGCGTCATACCCCATCGCCTGTTCACTCACAAGTACTCACTCACTAGTCAGCCGGCCGTGTCGACGAGGCGCCGCGTTGCGCCCATCGCCTGCGCGTGCGCGATGCCGTCGGCAGCGATCTGCGCCGCGTCGTTGCCGTACCCCTTTTGGAAGAGGGGCACGTCGAGCGCTTGGGCGTGGACGCGCAATTGCTCGACGGCGCCGGAGCGGAAGGTGTCGCAAGCGCAGAGGAGCGGCACGAAGCCTGTTGAATGGTCATTACAGATCAACAACTAAGGAAAGTGTCGCAAACGCCGAGGAGCGGCACGAGACCGTTCGACTTGATGTAGTAGGCAACCTTGGAGAGCGAAGTGCTCTTGCCGACGCCGTTGACGCCCACAAACACCACCACGTACGGCCGCTTGCCGCCGCGCGCCTATTGATGAACCAATGAGCACCTCGTCAAGTAATAAAGACCACAACGCACGGCCGCTTGCCGCCGCAGCGACCGTCGAGACGTCGTGCAGCAGGTCGGCTACCTCTCGGCTACCTCTCGGCTACCTCTCGGCTACCTCTCGGCTACCTCTCGGCTACCTCTCGGCTGCACCTCGGCTACCTCTCGGCTGCATCTCGGCTGTATCTCGGCTGTATCTCGGCTGTATCTCGCCGTCGAGATGTCGTGCAGCAGGTCGACGCGGCGCGAAGGGGTAAGCACGCGCCCGAGCGCCTAGGCTCGGCCAATCTCGGGTCATCTCGGCCCAATCTCGACGGCGAGGTGAGCACGCGCCCGAACGCCTCCGCCATCGCCGCCTTGACGGTACTGGCGAGCGAGCCGAAGGTGGGGAGCGACGCGCCGACCAGCGACGCGCCCACCGCGTCGATCACCTTGGCGCCGACCTCCTGCGCCACGTTCTTCTCCACCAGCCGGTCGAGCAGCGCCTTGAGCACGGGCGCCATCGCCTCCGCCGTCACCGGCCCGCCTCCGACCAGCTTGCTCAGCGTGCCTACGGACGTGTCCCGGACACGTCCCCCTGGCGTGTCATGTGGACTGCCCCCTCCCCGACCAGCTGGCTCAGGCGCCGCCAAGAAAGGAGGTGGTCCCCTCGGCGGGCGGCGCCGCGCCGACGCCGAACGCCTGGTCGAGGTCGACGCGCCCTCCCTCGTACACCTTGACGGCCGCGCGCGCGCCCGCCCCCTTGTCCGACGAAAAGTCGAGCTTCGCCGGCGCCGGCCCGCCGTCCCACGACCGCGCCTCCTTCTCCTTGCCCTCCCTCTCCCTGCCGCCGCGCCCGCCGCGCCCGCCGCGCCCGCCGCGCCCCGCCTTCTTGAGCCGCACCAAGTTGGCTGCGATCTCCTCAGCACTCAGCCCGCCCTCCGAGGCTGCGGCGGCGGCAGCCTCCGCCTCCGCCGCCTCCTCAAACCCCCCTCCCTCCTCCGCAGCCGGCGTCACTCCTCCGGCGGGCGCCGCCGCCTCGCCGCCGCCGCGCCGGTGACCGAGCGCCTCCTCGCGCTGCGCCTTGCGCGTCGCCTCGTACCTGTTCACACCGTGAGCCCGTGAAGAGACGCGGTTCACAGGCCGCCACGCCTCTGGGCGCCGCCTCGTGCTTTTTGCTCTCGGCAAAGGTGCGCTGCTTGCGGGCAGCTCGCTTCTCGCCGGCCGCCCGCTCCTCCGCCGCCGCCACCAGCGCGTCAAAGGCGGGCGAGAAGGCGTCGCAAGGGAAGAGGCCGTCGTGGGCCTCGGGCGGGAGTGCCTGCTGCCGCGCCGCAAACGCGCCGGCCGTCTCGCGGAGCAGCGCCTCCACGTACGGCAGGACCAGGCTCGCCTGGTGCACCGCCGCCACCAGCAGGTTCGCCTCGTTGAGCACAACCCACCGCACCGTCGCCTTGCCGTCGGAGTAGAGGCCCACGCCGCCGCCGCCGCCGCCATACGCTGCGGCGCGCTCCTCGAGAAGCACGCGGCAGATGAGCTCGCCGACGATGTCGCCGCCGCCGTCTGCGGGCGCCCACTCCTTTGACCAGCGAACCACGCCGCTGCTACCGACGACGCACACGCGGTCGAGCATCGAGCTGTAGTAGAGCTTGCGAAAGAATTTTATCCGCCAAGTGGCCCTCTCGGCGCGGGGATGCGCCCTCCCCCCTCGCTTTTTTTTTAAATCTCTCGCTTTTGCAAAATCCTGCAATCTGTCCTCCCACCCTAGCTTGGGATGTCCGTTTTATTTATCTATTACACTCGGCACGGGACTGGCGCGCACTGGCACTAACACAGGTACACCAAGGCGCAAGGGAGCCGCCTAAGAGACTCCTGCGAGGACGGCGAGGCACTTAGCTCCGTGCACTCGACCGCCCTCGCCGCAGGCAAGAATCATCAATCTGCTCTGCGATGGCCGTGTGAAGAACGACTGAGATACGCTGCTTCTGGCAGGCCACGAGCGAAAGAAAGAAAGAAATAAGAGCGGGGCGGTCCCAGTGGCAGTTGCGTTCTATTTGATTCTTTCCGTTTCTCTGAAAGAAAGAAAGAAAACAGACAACCCAAGGGAGGGATGGGAGGACGGCACGCCGCCACCACACAGGGATTTTAAGATTTCCGTTTCTCTGAAAGAAAAGAAAGAAGACAGACAACCAAGGGAGGGATGGGAGGACGGCACGCCGCCACCACACAGGGATTTTAAGGAGAGGAGTGTGATGCGCTAGCCGTCGCCCACCCTAGGGAGTCTGCCTCTTCCTATCTCTTTTCGCAGTCTCTCGCCGATTCTCGCTGCAACCTTCCGTTTCTCTGCAAAAGCCGACTGCCGCGGCTCGAATTCTTTCGCGCTTGCCCCCTGAGGTCGATGAGCCGATGGTGCGATGAGCGAAGGAATGAGGAGCGGCAGCAGCGGCAGCAGCAGGCCGGCGACGGCGCCCTGCTGCCGGTCCGAACGCCCGTTGCCTGCGGTGCGCTGGTCGTGAACATCGTCCTGCTCGAGGTGCTGCCGCTGGCCGGCGGAGCATTCGTCGCTGGGTTCGGCTACAACCTGCTCGTGCAGCATGGCGCGACTGCGCCGGGCGGTTTGCTCCTCCTCGTCGGCCTCACGCTCGTGCTGCGCAACGGCATCGTCATTACGTTCGCGAAGATCTGCTGCGGGCACCGCCTTCCGATCAACTGCCCGCTGTGCCTCTTCCGACTCGACCGCGAGCGCTTCTGGCGCCACCCGCTCGGCTGTGACGTCCCGCTCACACAGTGCCTCCTGCCCACTCACTGCGCCAGCCGCAGCGCAACATAGACGCAGCTGCCGCGTGTAAGTCCGAGACTCTGGTCGTGGGCGGCGGGGTCGTCGTCATCGACGGGCACTCGGTGCCTCACGAGGCACCTGCCGGACATGGCGGGTCAGCCGGAGAGCGATCCGTCAACGCATAACCCTCCGTCGACTATCCCAAACTGCCTCGTCATTGTCGTCAAGCCGTCTGGACACATTCGCCGACATCGTCTACTGCTCCTTTCCACCGAACCACCACCTTCCCACCGGCAGCGAGCGATTGTTGTTGGCGGGTCGGCCGCCTCGCCAAGGGCGTGCGCTTCAACGCCGAGAAGAAGTGCGTCGGAAAGTACCTCTCGACCAAGGTCTTGTCATGTTAGTGCCAGTGCGCGCCAGTCCCGTGCCCAGTGTCGTGCGACAGCCAATTCTCGGTCAGGTGTACTGTGGATCACCTTAAAATCCTTGATTAATTCCTGAGCCCACCTGGCCCCACCAGACGGGTGGCGCGAGGCGCCCGGGCCACTTTTTAGCGCCTCCCGAGCCTCCCGGCGCCTCCGGTGGCCTCCTGAACCCTCTCCCGCAGCCTCTCTCGGCGACGTGGGGAGAGCGGCTGGGCCGTCCACGGCTCGCACCCCGGCCCCGGCTCTTCCAGCGGCTCCACGCTTGCCGCCCGTGACGTCCGCGCCACGCACCACCACGCGGCCGCTCGAGAGAGCGGTCGACGCCCATACTGCTGGGCGTGGCGCTCTATCGGTCGACGCTTCGGCGTCGCTGCTTGGTTGAGGGGACCCGTGCCTCGACGACGCGGCGGCGCGGCCGAGCACGGGCCACGGCTCCCTCTCGGTGGCACAGCGCGTCGCCACGGATAAGATGCGACCCTGCATGGACGGGGAAGCTCCAAGAATGTTTCGTTCTACTTGCAGGAGAGGTCCAAGCAATTCGGGTTACTGCATGGCTCTTCTCGCCACTTCGCGTCGAGCACCTCGAGGGATGCGGCGTCCAAGAGAATGTTGAGTTGCTTTTCATTGGAAGCGCTGTGTCTTGCGGCATTTTCCGGGTCATCTATCCACGTGATGTGACAAACAAGCCGCTATTAATGAATATGGGAATGTTATCTAGTTAAGGCAACAACCCGAGCGACAACTCAGATAGACTCTCACCGTGAGAGACCACCTCAAACAGAGACAGAGACACACATACACACACCCATACACGCGCGCGGTGTACCCGCTACGTACGTCATGCGCCTGAGCCTATCTCTACTCGCATGCGTCCTCAAACCTGCCCGCACGCGAGGTCGTACTCGCTGCGGGCGAGGTAGAAGAGGCCGCCCTCCTCCACCTTCGCCCACTTGAGTTCTGGCACGGCGAGGAGGTGCGTCGCGGCGACGCGGTTTTGCTCGCTCGGCCAAGCCTTGAAGATGGCAAACTCGTCGTTGAGCTCGTGCAAGTTGACCCACTCGACTGGCACCGTGCAAGTTGACCCACTCGACTGGCACCGAGTAGTGGTTCTTGACCAGCGTCGTCGGTCCGCACGCGATCGTCGACTTGTTCTTCTCCTCCGGGCCGCGCGCCGTCGCGAACCATGTCGTCTCGCCGTGGGCCGTCTCGTCGTCCTGGCCGGGGTGAGGAGGGGTGAGTGGATAGGGCGGCGCGCAGAGCGAGGGGTGGGCAGAGGTGCGCCTCGTCGCCCGGCATGCAGACCACCGTGCCGTATGCGATGGTCTTGCGGTATTCGCGCGGCGTCCTCGCCACCGCCGCCGCCGCCCCCCGACGAGAGAAAGAGGTTCTGTGAGACCGCCTTGGCCTTGGCGACGATGGTACCGGCGCTCGACGCTCCCTCCGCGGCCTCCAGCTTCGCGTCAAACTCGGCCGCGGCCTTGCGGGGCGCGCCGTCCGCCTGCCTTGCGATCGCCTGCACGGCGTCCATCGACGCCGTGCCGGAGGCTGCGAGGGACGGCGGCCGGCCACGTGGCGCCGCAGGGGCAGCCCGGGTTTTGCCGCCGGCTCCATCAGCTTGGGGCTCGGCCGCGCCGGCCTTGCGCTTGCCCAGCGCCTTGCCGGACAGCGGCTCGCCTGCCGCCGCCGCTGCCGCCGCCGCTGGCGGATCCATGCCAGCCTGCCTGCGCGATGCCCGCCGCTCATCGCCTGCAGCCTCTGCGGCAACGGCTGCTTGGCCCAGACTGCCAGCCACCTGCTCCAGCTGCAGGGACAGCGGCGTGTCCGGCGACACGGAGGCGGAGGCGAGGACAAGCAGCTCCATCAGGCGGCCGCCCGCCTGCTCGGAGTCGAGCTGCCCGCTCCTCGTCCTGCCATCCGCCTCGATGACCGCATCGGCCGCCCAGCCCGCGGAGGCCAGCTGCTCTCCCCACCGCCTCTGCCGACGTCCGCCGCTGCTTGAGATCGTAGCGTCGGTCGGAATATAGTCGCGCATCTCCTCCACGGGCGAGTAAGCCGGCTCGGCGGCGAAGCCAATCGGAGCGCCGCGGTGCTGCGAGCCGCCCGGGCTCGTCTTGGAGCGAACAGGCCGGCTCGAAGGTGTCGAGGCGGGCTGGGACGGGCCGGTAGCGTCGGAGGCGGTCGCGGGTAGCGGCACGTACTTGGCGCAGTCGGCAAACTTGCCGTCGCAGGCCCGCCTGGCAGCTCGGCAGATGACACAGGCGACGCTCGGACGCCCACCTTTCGACTTCTCCGGCGGCCTCCCACCTCAGTGTTTTTCCGTGGCGTGAACAGAGCACCCCGAAAATCGGACTGGAAAACGCAGGCATGTGTGAGTCGTGTCGGGCGGCCTCCGAGCGCTCGCGCGCCTCTGTCTGGCGGTGCGCTGCTCGTCTGACGGCGAGGTCGCGTTTTCACAGCCTTGTTATTGAGAAGAAAATACCTCCTATGGCGCTGTGCGCTGGTCTGTGAGAGGTTGAGGTGCGAGCCCTGGAGGCCCTGGGGATGGGGTGAGACTACCCGCGGGCCTAGAAGGCCCGCGCGCAGGGGGGTGGGACATTGAGACCGGTCATGAATGAGTGCGCGACACGCATGTTGCGAGCAGCGTTGTTGATGTTCTGCGCGTCGCCACAGACGGCGGCGCGCGAGAGCTGTTGCATTCACACCCAAAGGAAGGACACTAGTGAGGCGGGGGGGTCGCCCCGGTGCCCCCCGCGCGCTGGCCGAGGCCGTGCCAACGGGTCCGCTGGCCTGGGGTCCGCTGTGGGCCGCCTCAGACCGCCGAAACTGTTTTTCCTGGGCATCCTGGAACGGCCGTGACCGAGAATTGGCTGTGTCTATGGTGTGTTTTGTTATACAGACGCATCACCCTGGACCACAGGAATTTTCCGGAACGCTCCTGCGATACTCTCTCTCAATGTGTGAATCATGGTGATATACTCAGTCCACGTCCTCGATGAGCTCCTCCGGCAGCGCCAGCGGCGCTTGCGGATCGCCGGACGTGCCGCCGCCGGAGGCTGAGGGCGAGTCCACCCTCTCCGCCGCGCCGCTCTCCCCCGCGGTGCTGCGCGCGCCGTGCTGGTCCGGTTCAGCCGGCGGCGGTGGCCCTCCGGCGGCCGGCGGCGGTGGCGGCGGTGGCCCCTCGTCGGCCGGTGGCGGTGGCCCTTCGTCGGCAAGCGGCGGTGGGTGCCCTGCGGCCCCCCCTCCTTGCCCTCCGCCCTCCCCTTGCACGGTGGCCTGGGCCACGGAGGAGGGGAGGCCGGCCGGGGGCTGCTCTTGCGGCGGCCTCGCCCGGACCATGAAGCTGCACCCGGCCGCCCCGCCGCCCGCCCCGCCGCCTGAGACCGCGCACCACCAGAAGCGGCGGTCCCACGCGGCTAGCTGTCGGCAGTC